TATTAATTAATTATACTCGTATATAATAATAAGTTAAATTTAATGCTAAGTTAAACGTGAGATAAGAAGGAAAAAAAATTAAGAAAAAAGAGATTCCATGTATTTCTATTTTAATCTTTCTTATTTACGATTTCTATATCAAGATGTATATCAGATAAATAAGAGTTCAAAAAAAATTTAGCCGCATGTCATAAATTCTGAATTTTTTTTAAAAAGTTTTGAAAAGAATTTATTTTGCAACTGAAAATGAACTCAGAATTGATAGCATAATGCGATTAATTACTTTTTAATTTTTTTTTAATTCTCTGTGCAATCTAGGATATACAGTTGGCATAAAAAAGTAAAACGTAAATAATAAGCGAATTAATCAATCACAGTAGAGATTGTAAGGCTATAGCCAGGGCTTGGTAAATAAGTGATATGACTTATTTGAAATAAAAAATATAAAGTAGGGATTCCAAAAGAACTTATTTAAAATATTAAATAAAAAATAGGTTACAAAAAATTATTTAAAATACAAAATAAGAAATAAGACCCGAAAATACATTAATTTATTTAAAATATCAAATAACTTTTATTTAAAATAGAAAAATAATTTGTCTTTTATTTTAAATAAGTTTTTGAAGGCAATTTCTTATTTTAAATAAGAAATATGCTTAATAATCATATCTAAGCTGTGTTTCGTTATTCACTGTGAATATCGAAACTACAGTAAACATAACGTGGACTTATAGATTAATTTTCAATATTCGCAGTGAGTATAACGGAATACAGACTCGATAGCAGTATTCGTAATCCGTTCTTATTTTAAAACCGTCTTAAATAATATCTTTAAATGCTAATACAACCTTCTGATTGACTCCATGACAATCTCAAATATAAGAATCGATTATGAACACCGATTTTAATCGAGGAGATTTCGATTGAACTCTCGGTCGAAAGCTTCGTAGTTCGCGCCATCGCGATTCACGATAGTGTCCGAGTTCGCCACAAGATGGCAGTCGCGGCGGACGACGGGCTGGCGCTGGGAGCGCGCGTCCAAAGTCAGGAGTACCGTGTCGTCGACTCAGTTAGGAGTACAAATACGTTACTACGTTCCGCCACGTTCCATAGCTTTCTCATGTGTCACCGCGTCGCGGGTATGTATACGCGCACGCCCGTCGTCATCGTAGTGTCGTGTTTTAACGCCGTCATCCGAGAGGGAGGAAAATAAAAGAAAGTCGAGATCCAGTGTCGTAACGTCGATCGCGGGGAATTCCGCGATCCCGGATCTTGCGCGCGATCGCGAGAGTGCGACGACTCCGTACGAGAGAATAACGGAGAAACGGTCAAGCGGGCGACGCAACATACGTAGAGGTACGCTCTCCTATATACGTGCATGCTGCGCGTTCATGCATGTGCTTGCGCGCGCGCGCGCGGTTGTACGTGAGGAAGCGAGACAGACGGTGGCGAATCGACGGAGAGAAGTGAAAGAGTCGGGCGGCGGAGGAGGAGGCGAGAAAAAAAGTGGGAAGTGTGTCGCGCGCTCGCGGCGCACCATCGTCATCGAGGAAGGTGCCCGGAAGTCGCCTACTGCACGCGCGACTGCTGCGCGCCGACGAATAGACAAATAGACAAAGGGGAAAAAGTTACCGCGGGTGGGCGAGGTAGTCCCCGACGTAGGAGCAAGAGAAAAAGAACAGAGAGAGAGAGAGAGAGAGAGAGAGAGAGAGACGAGACGAGATCAGAATACAGAGTACTACGAAGTGGAGGAAGGCACGGTTGCGTCAAGATAGAAGAGGTGATCCATCAGCGGGAGCACGAGAGTTTCGCATCTCGCGAGACAGAGAACGCATAAAGGGAGAGAGAAAGAGAGAGAAGAGAAAAGGGTGGGAGAGGCGAGAGGATTGTGTCGCAGACGGTGGAATGTAAGAAGCGACCGAGCGGTGCCGTGTAAACACGCGTCTCGAGTGAACCGGAGCGGCCCACCAGCGACGTTTAATTCGATGTCGTTGGCTTCCCCGTCGTCGTCACCGTCGCCGTCGTCGCAGTTGTACGACAGTCCCGACGGTTCGCGTCGTAGAACTTGTGCGGGAGGAGTAACCGGGAGCAACATCTGTGGCATCGATCATCGTCGCCGCCGGCACGGCAGACACGCGTAAATGAATACACATCACAAATGACGGTGGGCGGACCGGGTAGACTAGAGAGGTGCTGGCTGGACTCGTCGTCGTCGTCGTCGTCGTCGCCGTCGTCGTCGCCGTCGTCGTCGCCGTCGTCGTCGCCGTCGTCGGTTTAACAGACAAAAAGGTGAGCGTCTTTTTTCTTTTTGATCTCTTGGTACGCCTTAATTCTCTCTCGTCTACGAGTCTCTAGTGGACTCTTCTGTAAAAATGGCTTCGGGCGTTTTACCGTTTGCGATTGTTTTATTGTCCCTAAGCGGTTGTTGCACCGTACGATGTTGCTCCCGATAAGATAATTTTCACGATTATGTGTTGATAGCACATCACTCAACTGATCATTTCTAAACTGTCGCGTCGCAACGATAGCTGAAGTTCTGATCGCGACGTGTTATTCCGACTATGTCGTAATTGACACTTCTTGGATGCTAATTTCCGGACAAACTTGTTTTTAACTTCATTTCTATCGCGTCTAGAGATAGTACAAAGTGTAACAACACAACGCCTTACATTTTGTCATCAATCAATTTGACGTATCGCAATTACTGAATGAGATTTTTTTTTTGGCAACGCTAACATTATACGACACTTTGTTTCTTCTTTAATTTGACTTTGACTTTATTTGATTTTATTTGATTTGACGAACTTTACATATCGCTCGTTTGCTACAACTGACATAATTGTGATAAAAACTGCGATTTTTTAGTTGCTTGCAGAAAAACGGAAACATAAAAAAAAAAGGAAAAACATATTCTTAAAGAACATATTATTTCTGTATGCCTACAAATTGCGTTTCAAAAATAATATTACAAAATTTTAGTAATTCAAACTTTTTTTCTGAAAAACTTTGTTTTTTAATTATGTATTGTAGCAAATGAACGATAAATACCTTCTTTTCATTAAAAAGTGAATACAGAATTAAAGTATATTATTCATTTGCTACAACAATAACACAACTGAAAACAAAGTCTTTAAAAAAAAGTTTTAATAGATAGATCTTTATCTATCTATAGATTTCGTCTTTTTTTTCTGTCAAACAATTAACTTATTATTAGTGTCATGTGCTAACAACGCAGTTGAAAACAATAAACCTATTAAATTGATAATTTTAAAATCAATTAGAAAATTTTATCAATATACATCTTTATCTACCTATAGATTTCGTCCTTTCTCTCTCAAATGATTAACTTAGTGTCAGGTGCCAATATTACAGTTAAAAGAGCAACCCTATCGATCGCATCTTACCTTAATTATTTGTGAAGATGGCATCGGCTTTCATATACATACTCACACATTTGTGCTAATCGCGTCAAGAAAGATGCACGTTATCGATGCAACATCGAGACTTTTTATTTCTATTACATTTTTATCGTGAGAGGAAAAAAATAGTTCAAGGTAAACGTCTATTTCTCCAACCGGATGACTCCCCGCCCGCAATGATTCTCGCAATGCAGCTTCAAAAGAACCTCGATGCATATCGATTGCATAACAGTTACGGTAATGTCTTGCCAATGTACTTACCAATAAATAGCATGCCAGTCGTTAGTATAGACACTATATTTACGACGTATCGTGCGATAATATCGATCGTGCAGAGGAACCATCCCGGCAACCTGTCCTCCGAAGAGATATTTGGGTGGGTCCATCCGTTGTGTATCCGATAAATTCGCAACGTCTGGTATGGTGGTGGTCCAGCGATCTCTTACGAGTTCAGATGGGTAAACACAGTACGCAATGTAATACGATCCCGCGAGGAACTTCTCCGTCTGTTTTATCGAATACGTATATCCTCGTATCGTTGTATATAGTGTACATTGTGAGATGAAACAATAAGTTTCTCCGGGGACTAATCGATTACCGCTTTACAGAAACTCGGTACTTCCGAGATCATAGATCTAGCAAGCATTTTCTTTTGGAAAATGTCGTGAATTGAATGCGATAAAAAAAAATTAAAGGAGACATTATGGTTATGACTAATTTATTCTCAAAGAGAATGAAGAACAGTAATAATCTTGTATTTTATTAAATTTGCCAAATGTTAATATGAATATTTCACTAATAATTTTACTGTCCAGGGAGAGGATAATAATGTTGCGCAACATCGCGATAATATGAGGTTAGGGGAGGAAAGGATTTTTAGTTAAATATATATTCATCTCACTGGGGATAAACTGTTTTTAATATTTATTTGTGTTTAATAATAATGATAATAGCTATTGAAGCTATTAGAGAAACAACAATTGACAATGTATTTATTTTATCAGCGTTGATAAATAAATCGTATATTTAATCGTCTATTTAATGTAAATTTAAATAAATTTTATTTATTAGGACCAAATAATTCTAACGAAGCACATTTTACGAGCACTCTGTACAAACTCTTCCTCTTCTTCTCCTTTTATAAATTGTAATTCTGCGAAAATATTTCAATTACATTCTTTCACATAACAGTTGGCGTTTGAATAGTCCGATAAAATTGATTACATAAAACATTAATTACTTTGGCGGAAATTACAATTCGTGTAAACCCACAAAAGTGGAGCACAATGGTCCTGAATTTAATTAATAGCGATAACATCATGTATAAACACTTATCGAATATAAATGTCTATAAACACGTATCTACTTATCGAATATAAAAATTAATAATATCAAATTTGAACAATATTACTGTATTAGAATATTTGATGTTGATATTTAAATATTCGATTAATTTTTAAATTAGATACGATGTTTCCGATCATCGGAAACATAAAAAATAGAAAAATATAGTCTTTAATATCTTCTCATGTCATTTTTGCAATAATTCTCATTTCACAGTAATTGATATCCAATATCGTAAGAGTAAGAAAAATAATCGACGTCACGCGGAACGTCAAGGAAAATAGAATTTAATTTTCCTCGAAATTTTTTACGAATATCACGTTTGTAAAGAAATTAATGTGACGCAAGATTATTGATTGATATTTGAATGATTACATCTCCATTATACGTTGCTCAATAATAATTACAATAGTACAATATGTCATTGTCGTACAAGTTGTCGTAAAATGTTTGCCTCTTTTATTATTTTATCGATAATGTTTGTTAGCTATAAAGATAACTTATGTATACACTGAGAAAAATTGCTAGTTGAAAATGAATGAACTAGTAAATTCTGATCATATCAATCAGAATTCCAATTGTTATGATTGGACATTTGGTTATCTCGAGTAGAATTAAAATAAATTCGACTATAAATTTCTGATTTTTTTCAGTAGAATTCCAATTAATATAATGAGATTCTTGTTTCAGTACAATTAGGAATAATTAATTTTATGTTATTGAAAAATGTCTTTAACTGAATTTAAAATCAATATTTGTTTTGTCTGTCTGTACAAAAAAATAATATCTTAGAATTTGAGATACTTTCGAGAGGAAAAAAAAAATGAATAAATTTGCTAATGGCGTTACTTTTAATTCATTGTTGCTTGATATTTCTCCCAGTTTTTATATCGAGACTTATTCGAAGAAAGTTTATTGAAAGATTATATGTAACGTTACATATTTTCACAAGTTTCGACAAGGCATTTTATAAAGTTTCTTCGAAATTATTACCTTTTCAAAGAGTGTTTTGTATTACCTTTAAGGGCGTTTCATCTTACTGAATTAAAATATCAAAGCAAGAGCAATATAGGTCAGGAAATTTTAAACTAAATAATTAAGCATTATATAATTAACCGAACGACGAAGTTATCAAAGTTTTCTGTTATTAACCGCTTGCAGAAATGCTTCTCTTGTTTCGATGAGACGAAAATATTTACTGGATCGTATTCATAGATTAAAAAGCTAGTCATTTCCAGATAAACTGTTTAGCATTCCTCTACGTCAACCCTGAGACACTTGAAAAAAATTCCAACGAAACTGCCAGTCGTTGGAATACTAATTTTATTTAGACCGTATAGCTTTTCACGTAGTAATTTTTGTACTTAGTTTTTCATTTGGTTGACTTAAGGCCTTAAGAGATTTTCCGTTTCTAATTTTTTTCAGAAATTTTATTAAATCTTTTTATTTAAATTGAAATTAATTTTTCTTGAGCAAAATTTTAAAAACATTTTCTCAGTATAAAGATAATAAAATATTTTGATAATTTTAGATTAAAATTTTATTAAAGCGAGATACGTTTGAAATTAAATTATGCCTGAAATAAAAACGTTTTGTTGTTTTTTCTGCATTTTTGAAATGACTTGAAATGAGTTTGATTTGTTTGTTTAATTTGAGAAACTTATATGTAAAAATCTTTTTTTAAATTTCCTTGTGAAATATGGTAGGTTGAAAAGAGAGACAGGAAGTAGAGAGAGAGAGAGAGAGAGGGGGGAGGGAAGTGGGACACTGTATATATTGTGTGACATTCTTGGAGTGCTCTGTTCCCATTCATATGTTTCATCTCTGTTTAAACATGTGAAAATATCAAGACATTTGGCATTTCAAGAGCTGGAATGAAATCGTAGAATATTTGAGAACTGTCAGTAAATACATTTGTAATTCACTTAGATATTAAATTATTATAAAGCAATTTATTTGCAAAGATGCTTTAATATAAATGATTGAGCATAAATGAAGAAATATTATAATCATAATGTAATTCTTGATATTACCATTACAAAAGAATCTCTCGGCATGAATGATATTATTAACATCATGTAATATTTATTATAATTAGATCATAAAACATATAAAAACATGTTTTGTTATCAAATGCGCATTTAAATACTTGAATAAAAAAGTTCATTTAAATTTTTCCAGAAAGTTATATTTTTATTGTAATCTATATATATTTTTATCTTAATTGAAATTTCTTTAATAAAATTGATTAAAATTTTATTGAAACGAGATGTACGGAATTAAATTATGTTTTGTCGTTTATATTTTTTTCTATATTTTTAAAACTTGATTTATTTGTTTAAGCTGAGAATGCTTCTGAATGCTTTTATTACAGAAAAGTATATATAAAATAAATCTTCTCTAGAAGTAATTTTCGTCTCTTCCTTATTGTCTTCCATCACTCCCAGACAAGATAGAAAAACCTTTAACTTATTCTGAATGATAGATTATTTTCACTTACACTTTCTTTCGTACACACATAAACACTATTGTTGTTTACTCCTAGATAGCCAACGGTATTTATACGAGGGAAATGAACCAGCGCAATTCGGAAGCGGAGATCAATCTGTTTGTCGAGTGCATTATCTCAAATTACGCAGATCCGGTCGCGTCAAAGTAATCCGTGCCAGCTCGCGCTGTAGAAACTCTATAGAAACGACACTTGTCTGCGTGCTGCATTTCGAGATGAGAGAGTGAGGAAAAGTTGGAGAAAGAAAGAGAGAAAAGAACGGGGACCTATAAACAATATTAGCGTCAATAGAGTAAACAAAAAAAAAATTATCGGAACAAAACTAAAGTAAAAATGATGCGTCTCATACATAGAGATCACTAGCTGAAATTTCCATCGCGCGGAATCATAACACTCGTAATATTCTTTTTTTTTTTATCTCATCATTCTTCATCCATTGCATTATCGTGAAATCCGTGCGTGTCGTATGCGTTTGAAAATATCATTCCGATCAGATTTGCGCGAGAGATTCCCACACTGCCGATAGCTTATCGATACTACCTTTCTGTAACTCAATTTACTGATATCATCTGACAATGTCAATATGTCATCGAGTATATCAATGCGGATTAAGCTATCAGCGATATGTACAAAACAGCAGAAATACATTTTATAACTTCTATCAAACTTTAGAAGTGTGATGATGTCTTTCTTGGCGAAAGTTTTATTGGATCTCCCTGGTGTTCATAATTGGATCTTTTCTGTGACTTTTCTGACTTTCTAAAAGTACATTTTTCAACGTTGACATATTTCTAATGATATTTCTCAACCCCAAAAAAATACTAATAAAGTAAGGCAGAGGATTCAGTTTAATCTTTAAGACTTAAGTAAATAAGTTTATTTAAAGATACACTGGAAAAAAAAAGTCTTATTGCATTAATTGGAAATAATTTTCAATCAAAGAAAGGTAAAAATTCGACATTTATGTTATATCAAACGTTCTAATCGAAATATCCAAAAATTCAGTTACCACAATTCTGATTTATATAATCAGAATTCGTTTTGTACTTTTTGTTGGTACAACTAGAACATTTTTCTCAGTGTACGCAAGTTGATAGGTTGAAGGGGTGCTCAGAAAATCTCATTTTAAAAAATTTTAATTTTGTAAGATATAGTTTTTATACTTTTTATAGTCACAGTTTTTATATTATGTTATAATTAAATTTCTATTATATATATAATACTCTTATAAGGTAGAGAGAAATGTAAATAAAAATAATAAAGTTTAATGGACTTTTTATAATAAACCGTCAAGTAATAAATTAGAAGTCAGGAGCGAGTTATAAGCGAGTCAGTGGGGTGTCATAATACAAAATAGGTCATAAATCTTAAGAAACTTACATCCAGAATAAATACTAAACTGAATGGTTTTGTAATGAGTAACTTTTAAACTTACTACAGAACTGTTAAATTAGTGTTTAACCATAGCTAGAAAAAAAACATAATTTTTTTTATTACCATCACAGGCCTAATCACAAATTAACCAGAAAATGAAAAATTAGGCCTTATTAATTAAACGCTCTTCTCTTGAAGTTTTTTCATACTTCTGCGAAGCACAGTTAATTT